GAATGGCCCTTTTTTTTTGACAGTTTCGCCGAAGCTGGAGATCTCTGAGCTCCTCGCTGTCCTGTTAGCACCTAAATAGGGCATCGCAGGGCAGTACAGGCACTTGCAGCAGCTTTTAAGAGAGTGAAAGGACTTAAATTAAAAACTTACACAAACTAACTTCTTTAAGAAAGCAGGAAACATTTAGCTAGCTGATTTGTCCTCAGGACGAGGGCTGAAAACCGATTTGTCCTACAGTAATGTATTTTTTTATTTCCCTAAAAGCAGCTAACTGTCCGAATCCTGAACTGAGGAATATTTTACATTATGACATAGCATCCAGCTATATTAAACCTGCATCTGTGTCCTAACAATGCTTCTTACTGCTGCCTCATCATAACTGAGTTAATGAACCACAACAAAAATCAAAACAGGAGAATCTGTCGACTTATTTTCAATATGTATCATCCTGAAATGTGCTGCGGGTGTGTGACCACGCTCGAAAGAGCTCTCTGTCACTGCACTCTCCCACTCTGAGATAATCTCTCCAGGATCTCTCTCTCAATTAAAACGGAGAGAGTGCTCCTCTACTAATACCAATTAATTTATATTTTTCTTCTGCATTTATGTTTAATTAAACAACTGCTCGGCTTGTCTCGCTCTGTACTTTTTATTCCCCATGAGGTGTACCTCTGCAGGCCTCAAATACACGTCCTGCCCTTATGCACTTCGCCAGGCTTATTCAATTAAAGCTTTTTCCTTCTTTGCCTCCCCTCCCCCAGTGAAACTTTGTAAAATAAGGGGCATTTGCTGCACAGTTGTAGCCCACGTCCCAGTAGCATCACCTTTTATATGATTTTTCTCCCCCCTGCATCTTTAACTGTAGCCTTTGGTGCCCTAGCCTGAACACTGAAAACTCCCACTTAAACCAAATACATGTTTTGAATTCCCAAATAATACAGCCTGGGCTCTCAAAAAAGGATCAAAAATGTCCAGATTTTACTAAAGAGAGAAAGATCACAATGCTCTTGCTTTCTTTTACATCGCTTCCATCTCTAGTCAGAAGTGAAAGAAGTGGCACATACGGAGCTGGAAGCCTTGGGGCACAGAGAAATCTCTTTCCCGGAATCCCAGCCTGTCTTATCTGCTCTTTTGCTCTTGTCTGTGGATATAATATACTGGGCTGCTTTATGGTCCAGAGGCTGCAGTAATTATATATATTTATTATAGCTTGCTTTTCTTAAAAAGCCTGATATGTGTTTTTCACCGGGAGAGTTTTTCAGCGAATCCTTTCTAGAAATTGTACACTCTGGTAAATCCAATGCACTGTAATGCTCGTTTATGCAGATAAATTTTCTTAACAAGGTTTTCAAACAAATGTATGGATGTGTCTAAGAAAAAATTTTAAATAATTTTTTTTTCGAATTTGACACTGACAGTGAGGCTAATTACAAGGGCAGGAAAATGTTGCTTGTCGGCTGGAGATTATACATTACCGTGTTAATTTTTGGAAAGTTTTTGAGAAAACAAAGAAGGAGGAATTTGGGGGAAATCGGGGCAAGCTGTTAAGTCCAAAATAAGAGAGATTTGCGTTCTATATGTGACATTATTATGATGCAATCGAGAAATTTAAAACAGCTTTTTTTTTTCCTGAGAGAAGCAGTCAGAAAATTGAATTATTGTTGTTGTTTGTTGGGTTTTTTTAAAAAGGGATTTTTTTAACAACATAATATAGCCACAGTTTACTTACAGTGAAATTATTAAAGTATAGTATAATATACTGGGTTTAGAGGAAAACTTCTGGAACTTTGAAACACTCCTTTTAACTTCTCCTTTTTGGGTGACATACTGAAACACAAATATTGGGGAGAAAAATTTCTTCTAGCATTTATTTTTCTTAGCAGACAGAGGTATGGTACACTCCAAATATTTGCTTTATGATAATGCACAGACAATGTAAACACCTGAAAGCTTAGAAAAACACATGCTACATTTGCTGCTGCTGAGCTAAAATAGCTGTTCCTCAGAGACCCTGTATTTGATGTTTAACGAGATTAAACAGTAATGCAAAGGTGTCTCAATACTTAGGCAAATGAAACCGAGCCATACTTAATTGTCTTGTGTTAAGAAGCTGAGATAACAAAAAACGAAGTGATTATATCCCCATTCTGCACCGCCTGTGTCAGAGTCTGAGACAGAAAGCTGTGATCACCCAAATGATAACATCTTTCGCCAATTCACCAAGCTTAGTGAAAAAAAAAAAAAAAAACCAACAAACGTTGAGAAATAGATGTTCTGGTGTAGCCTTAGTTTTGTAGCCGGGCTCTTCTGGCCGCCTTAAGCGAGGGCTGAGCCGCGGCAGACCCCAGAGATAAGAGCTGAGGATCTGAACGCTGTGCCGAGGCAGGCGCCCCCCGCGCTACTCAACTCTCCTTCTTCTGCCCCAGGTGATGAAGCTCGGGAACCCCGAAATCGCCCGGCGGTTGCTAATGAGCGGTGCCAACCCCAACCTCAAAGACAGTACTGGCTTCGCTGTCATTCACGACGCAGCCAGAGAGGGGTTCCTGGACACTTTGCAGACTCTGCTGGAGTTCAAAGCCGACGTTAACATCGAGGACAACGAGGGCAACCTGCCCTTGCACTGGGCCGCCCGCGAGGGGCACGCGCGGGTGGTGGCGTTCCTGCTGGAGCGCGCGGAGTGCAAGGTGGGCCACCAGAACAAGCGGGGGGCCACCGCCTACGACCTGGCCAAGCTCTACAAGAGAGCTGCCGTCGTCAAGCTCCTGGAGGACAGCAGCCTCTTCCCCACGGCCATGAATTAAACCCCGCTCGGACCTGCTCTCCTTCGGACCTTCAGGCTGCCAGCCTTCCTGGGGTTTCCTTTTTCCCTCCGGGTTAATAACATTTGTTGCAACCTTGCTTCTATTTTTGGGGTTTGGTGGTTTGTTTTTTTTTTTTGGACAGCTGATGGTACAAGTCTGAAGAAATTCTAGAGGTGGGCTTTTTAGGTGGTGGCAAACGTTGTAAACCCACGCTCCCAGCCGTCTCTGACACCTGCCATTCACAAAGCCCTCGCAGGCTCAGCCGTGTGTATGTTGGTCGCTCACACCTAGTTTTCCAGTATCAAGTTTTACAATTTATTTTAGGTCATTCATATTAAGTCATTAATCCAAGAGCTACATATTCAATGCTTAATGTTGCTGGACTTTTAAGAAAAGGCAAGAGCTTACCGTGGTCTTTCCCACCTCTCAACGCACCCCCTCCCCCTTTCAGCTTTCGGTCAGGCTGAAGAGTTTGAAGTCCTGTTTTGGATTAAAACAGCCTTTTAAGGGGTAACCTGCACCCCCCCCTGCTCAAGCAGAGCTTGAAGACAAAGGCTGCTTGGCCTGAGGACAGAGGATGGCGCTTAGAGGCTTTGGGAAATAAATAGCTTCGTTTTGACACTAACAAGAGCTTGTAGAAGTAGGTCACTTACTTTCTAAATGTAGATGACACTTTTCCCCTTTGTGTATTTAAACTTTCACCAAGCTGGTTTTGAATTTAGTTACCAGAAACAGTATAAGTGGGTTTTGGGTTTTGTTGGTTTTTTTTTTTGATTGCCAGAGGTTTTAAACAGCTCAGTTTAGTAGTTCGTGTTTACTGTGCGCTGCCGTTTTTTTTCTAGTTTCAAAACAAGCAGCAGAGAACCATTGTCAGAGGCAGGAGGACGCAAAGGCTGCAGTACACCAAGTTTTCTGGTCGCTTCATAACCTGAGTGCAGCTTTCAGAAATGTTTGCTTTCCACCAACTATTCTGCTTTGCCTGGAAATAAATTATTTTAATGACATAGGTCTATCTCACAAAAAGAGGAATTGTTTGAATACAGTGATGTTGAGGAAGCAGCACGTTTGATATCTGGGAAGTTAAGATATTGCTTGCGCCTAAACCACAATTTAACCATTGAAAATTTTCCACTTCAATACAGTTGAGAGTATTCTTCAGACCAAAACCCATTTACCTCTCCAGCTGCAACAGGAGCTGATGACCCTCAGCACCGTATGGGAAAGAGCTCGGTGTGAAACTTTTAACATTTGTACAGGATCTAGTTGTGGGGCAGTTAAATGGCTTTCTTTTCAGTAGTCTCAATTTTAATTGCACAAAAGAGAAGGTTTTAAATCAATATGAAATGAATGGACTTGAAATAGCACTTAAAAGCGGAGGGGGTGTACATTAGTTTAGATTTTAACTCTTCAAAGAAGGAAAAAATAATTATTTTAGCCCCACGAAATCAGTAATTACCGTTTTCGAGTAGAAAGTAATTTGCTGAAACCGTCACGTTTACTATACGCTCTGTCACACCGCTGTGTTTTCCGATTAAAAACCTCTGTGAAACACGAAGCTTGGTGCGCCTTTGTTACCGTTTTTTGTTCACAAGGGATCTCGAGATCACGAGTCCATGCGGCACGGCACACAGGACGCAGCACTGGGGAAATATCCCACAAAACACCCGGTACAAAGAGCACTAAACCCACCCGGAATATTAAAACCGAGCCGCGTAACCCGCAGGTGCCCGAGGCGAAGTGACCCCAGCCCGCTCCCCGCTGCTATCCGCCTGCTTCCCTCGTGTCTCGGAGGATGCTCCAAGCTTTCTCCTTCTCCGCAGCCTTTCCACAGCAGAAATCCGCGCTACCACCGGCATTTCTCCCACTCGCTGGAGAGGGGACACCGAAAGGTAACTCATCTTTCTCACTCGTTTTCCTCCTACGCCACTTAAAAAACCCTCATCCCTGCCCCGTTCGGAGCTCCGTCAGCATTTACTTTACGCCAAAGCCAAGTTTAAAGTAGCGGGTTAATAAAA